TTTGTGGATTCTTGCTGCTTTTGGCCCCGTGGGATAACGTCCATAGAGGTGTTAGCAATTCAGACTGATAGCCAAGTTCCAAAGCACAGATGAGGGAAGTAGTGTGGCTGCTCTTAGGAACAAGTTGCTCAAAAGAACTAAACCTGAAGAAACAGTTTTAGAAAGCCAGCTAAACTTCCCACCTGGCCTCCCAGATCATCAGCCAGGCAATGTGTGGCTCTCCCATATCTCCAGCTATCCTGATTTGGCAGCGATAATCCTGAATAATCCTCTGTTGTCCACTTTTCCAGCTGCTTTTAAAAAAATCCCACTTTCTGCTTTTGTCCTCAGTTTACATCAAGTGCTGCAGACTGAGTTAAAATGCAAAAGTACTTCACATTCAGTTCAATTCAACTCAATTTAGCAGAGGGAGGGAGAGGAGAGGGAAGAATCTTCCCCCTTCTATAGGCTCAGGGGGGAAAATCCTGGTGCAACCTCTCCTCCAGTGTGTGTTCATCCTTGCTAATAACTGTTGAATGTTTAACAGTACCCTGATGTTGCTTAGTCACATACATTTTGGTTTTCATTTGTCAAATGTTGGCGTGTATTCCCTCCAGATGTTCTCAAGTGCAGTTCCCAGTAATTTTCACCATGGGATGTGCTGGCTAAGGCTGATGGGAGTTGCAACCCAATAGCATCTAGAGACCACATTTTGCCACCCTTCAGCTGCAGTACATTAATAAAAGGTAACAACTTTGTACAAACAGCATTTCCCCCTTTGTGGTAGAACAACAGAGATCTCCATTTGTGTAATGGAACAAATGAGGATAACTACACTCAGCTCTGGCAAAAAATCCACTGGGTGTCCTTGTGTAAGTCACATGCTCTCAGCCTCAGGGAAGGGTAATGGCAAACCTCCTCTGAGCAAATCTTGTCAAACATACTCCATATGGCACACAACAACAATAACACACCACTAGGAACTTCTATTCTGCTAGTGCACAATTTGATTTTGGCCACTTTTGAGGACTATGACTTTCAGAATCCTCCATCCAGCATTGTCAGTGATAATTATGGCCTGGAGATTGTGGGATTATTCTGGGATTTTTTTAAAAAGTAACTTTTTCAGGCACTGGGTTGCTTGTTTGACTCATCTGGCATCTTATACCTTAAAATTGACAAAATGTTGGCCATCTATATGTTGATTTCATTTCTTGTATCCTTAAAACTGAAAGGTGTTTTCTCTTTACTGCTCTTTAACTTAATAACTGATAGAATGGTTTACAGTAGAAACATATTTTAGAAATAGAGGAAACCAGTGAATACAAATAAGTAGAGTACAAAGCAGCAGTTAAATCAGAAAGCAGAACTTTATTTGTGAGCACCTTGGGTCACTTTCTGGGAGAAAGGCGCATAGAAATCAAATCAATAGATAAACTTTTCAAAAGGTCTTAAAAATTAGGATTGTGTATGTATATGTGTGTTGTGTATTTTATTGGTGTTGAAAAAAAAGTTTTAGCACCAGCTGAGAATCCACTGTCTGAGAGTATGTTAATACCTGTTTAATGAACTGTCTGTGGTTTGTGAAATCTGTTAACTGTCTGAACTGCAAACTTCTCTCTTTTAAATGTGGTTAATTCCTAAAATAAGAGGTGTTTAGGTGTTCCTGGTATTTGGAACTTTTGAGCTAGAAGTTTTTCCTCTTAACTGCAGCTACATTATAGGGAATGTTGTGGCTACTCTGGAAATAAAATACACTCCACTCATGCTTACCAGCTAATTAATTCACATTTTCCATCTGAACTTTAGCACAAGGATTCTTGGAGATGATCTCATATATTCCAGGGCTTAGGTGTGATGACCCTTGGCTCCATTTAATTCAGAGTACAGGAACAAGCTGTTAGTTTGGATCATTAATAAGGAACATATCTTGTCAATACTTAAAGAGACTTATTACCTACTAGGCAACACATTTATTTCTGGGCACAACTCATAGTGGAATGATTAAGTTATAGATGTCTTGGGATGTGAAGAACCCCAATTCAGTCATTCATTCATCATTGCACTTTTGGACCACATGACCTCCTGATTATTCCAGAGGTGGTGTACAATACATTCAAATATGATACACAAACAGTAAAACAAAGACAAAAGACACATTATCAGCAAATAATAAAAGCCCTAGAACAGGGGTCGGCAACCTACGGCCCACGGGCCGGGTCCAGCCTGCCGAGGCCTGCTGACCGCCCCCTGCCCAGTCCTGCCGCCGCCGCCGCCACTGCTGCCGCCGCCACATGCATGACATGGGCCGCCATTTTGGAAGGCCCAATGGTGCCAGGGCCGTGCAAATTTGCATGGCACTGGCGCCATTGGG